CTAAAGGTGCTCCTGCCACGACAGGATAAAATAGAAAGCGCTGCTCTTCAAACTCTTCCACCTTGCACTCTGTGCTTGCTGCCGGGTTCTCTGCTCCTTGGTAATCCCTGCTGTGCTGCTTAGCCATGATACTGGTGTCATCTCTTTCATCTGTGACCTCTGGGTTTCCTAGATCTGTTTTACCCTCTTGTTGGATCTGCCCACATCCCAGGATCATGACAGGCTGGTACTTTACTGAGGCTCTGACTTCACTGGTTATGAAGATGTGTGTTTGCAGTGTGGAGCATCGCAAAGAGAAACACAATCGACTGAAACTGTCACTAATGCCATGACCCTGCAACCCTGCATGGGAAAAGTAACATATTAGTCCTTAGCCACTTGACGGAAGATTTTTTTTTTTTTTTTAAATTTGGCTCTTCTCCATAGGCTCTTACAAGCTCTTTATTATTCAGGATCTGAGCATCTTCCAGGCAATTAAACACAAATTACCTCTCCCCTCCCTACAACAGCAGGTCTCAGGTATGTAACATAAGTGGAGTTAAGAGCTCAGTATGCTTGAGAAGGTGAGGTTGATCACCTGAATGATATTACTGGGAGAACCTCTGCTTACGAGCCATGTTTCCTTCTCAATCAGCTCTGCAGGGCTGATTTCAATGGGTAGCAGGGATCAGTTTGGCCTGGTTATGACAATCCACAACCTTCCTAATTCTGCAGAGCATTTCACAAGCCAGAGAGATCTCCAGGCTTGCCCTCCTTTCCTCTTACTTCTCTCTCCAACCCTTCCCTATGAGGAGCATCAAGAATAGGAAATTGGTTAGCAATTCAAATACAATACAAGTAAATGACAGCTAGAAACTGCTTCTGATACCTCAAACCATCTGTACTTTACAGTCCAGCTCAACCTTCTGTTTCTAGGAGAAAAAGGTCAATGCACTCTCACTGAAAGTCACTCAACTCATCTGCTGGGTGATTGCAGCTAGTGCTTAGCTTTCAAAAAGTAGCCTCTGGAATCCAGCACTGGGATGTCCCAGGCAACAGGTGACCTTTAAAATGGGTGTTAGTATGGCTAAATTACTGCTGACAAAACATCCAATGCGAGCACCCTTGCATGAGAAATAAATGCATTGCCTGCATAGGACCTAACCCCCTATGTCCTAGGGGGTCTAGCCTATGTCCTGAGACTGTAAGCTTCAAACGGAGCTTGTAGCTAAATTCACATTAATCACTTACCTAGGAGCCCTAATTTTCAAAGGTACTCTGCACCACCAAGGGTCTTGACAAACATGGTCTTTAAGATCAGGTGCAGGGTATGTCTATCTCCAGGAACCCCCGCAGTACACGAGCGGCTCTGCTACGAAGCTGCACGGGCAGACGGCGCTCACCTTCCTCCAGGCAGGAAGGGCACGATGCCTGCCAATGAACCGCCTCACACTGAAGACGCTAACTCTGAAGATCCTTGTCACGTGAATGAAAGCAATTACAAGCTACTTAATAAGGAAAGGAGAGCTGAAACCTTGTTTAGATTTTAATCTCCAGGGTGTGTCTGTCTATGGGCAGCCAGACAGTTCAGCTCTCCCTCTGTACGCTACCGGGTGCTGGAGTGGCCCCTATCCTGGCCCAGATGTTTCAAAGTGCCTTGAGTTTTAAAGAAAACTTGAAGGTGTATGCCGCAGCTGCTAGTGGGATATGGAGTCTCTTCTCCTTGGGCAGCGCTTCAGACAGAAGCTTCTGGTATCCCAGGTGAAAATCCTCACCCTGCCAGGCGAGTGGGCAGCTGCATTACGTGAAACAAGCTGAAGAGTTTAGCTGCCTGTGGGTAGGCAATGCAACCACCACAGTGGGCACTGTCATCAACAGCACTAGCAGAGAGGCAAGGAACGGCTCAGGCACCACAAACTCCTCTCTCACCCTTAGAGAGGGTGATCTCCGTGGATCGCAGCCCGCAGGCAGAACAGGGGACTGACTAAGGCTGTGCTCTCATCCATGCCCACGGCCACTGCTCTTCTCAAGGCCAGGGAGGCTGCAGTCGGCCCTGGGCAGCGCATCGGGGAAAGAAGGCGACATATCTTAGCTCGCTTACGCAGTTCTTCTCTGTGGAGGAACTGACATACAGCCAGACCAGCACTCTCCTCCACTAACACATTCTCCAAGACACAGAAATCAGTAGCACATCACTTAATTGGCAATGATTCTGCTTTCCATGTAAGCCACTTAAAAAGATGTAATTATACCCCAGGAGATGAAACATTCGCTTTTCTTTAAAAGCTGACTGCAGCTCCTATTACCCACAAACATGCAGAAGAAAAATCTGCCAGCCATCCCCCTTCTTGATGGCTTACCTGCAACTTTAAAACGTTAGTAACAATTTTCTGCCTGCTTTTGTCAGGGAGTTTGTAGGGTACTTGTGGTAATAGCCCCTTTGCACCTAATAGCCACCTTACCCTCCGTTTGTCTTGGGGATGAGCTGGATTCCACCTTGGACCCAGTTCTGAAAACTAAATGAACGCCCTGGGAAAGGAAGCAGAGCGGCTTTGATCACTTAAATACAGCCTTCTTGGAGAGAGCCACAGGATGCCTTTAGACTTCTGAACTGTCCGCACAATCCAGATTCCAGGCCTGCTGCTGAGTTCACGTTACAACGCTCCTGTTCTCTGAGCCTCGCTCCCCAGTCTCCGGACAAGACCTCTCTTTGATGTGCGGGGCACTGGGCTCACCTTACTGCAGTGATCCCTGTGAGAGCTGCACAAGCAAGATGCTTCGAGCCAGAAAAGTGTGCCATGCGAGAGACAGAGCAACCCAGCCCTCTGATCAGTCAAGGGACTTTTTGCTAATACCGTTTCCTTTTTTCCATAAGGAAAGCAGCAGCAGCAGAGGTACTGTATGTCACCCACGTGGCTCCTGGCAGCCCCAGATGTTAACTTGTTCTGCCACACATCAGATGATCTGCATGGTTTTTGGTAATGATAGGCTCTCAAGACAGCTGTTACCAGATTGAACTGAACGCTGTCTCAAGCTGTGTTGGTCATATCCCTTCTGGATAGGTATCCCAAGGCTGATTTGTGCTGTGCTATCTTCCTCAATCCATGCAATAGGGAGGTAAATTCTTGGTGCCTCAATATCGAGGCCGTTAATACACGACGAATTTGTTTCCTAAACCAGTGTTACTTTCCTTCAGCCTAAAGCACACGCAGCATCACTTCTGAGACCAACTGCAAAGCGATCCTTTCATCCCTACTAATCCAGGATCTGCAGCCAGCAACTCTGTGTGGTGCTGCCTACTAGCGTGCTGCCTTCCAAGCATGCACCTGCGCATTGCCCACTAGCTCTTCTTTTTCCTAGGTAGAGGCACAGGAGCTCATTTCGCCAGCTAGGAACCTGTGTACTAGTAAGCACACCTGACCAACAATCTGAAGGTTGGCCCTCAGCTGCAAACTGGACTGGGATAGGTCACGAGGAAGACCCTCATGGCTTAATGATAATTGATGCATTTTCTAACCTTCCGAGTCCTCAGATTAAAATGTATTTAAAGCTTGCAGACAGTTTGAACAAGAAATTCTTCATTTGAGCCTCCAAAACTCTGCTGTGGATTTTGTTATCCAGACCTAAACCAGGGTCCATGTCTCCAGCCCATATGGTGAAAGACTGAACCTTGGATTAAATTCAGCTTATCAAGCCCAACTGTTCCAAACCCACAAAAGAAAAGCCAAGGAGAGAAAGCTTCTCTGTGTAGCTTACATGCAGCCACTAGTTACTGCCCCAGAAAGCCAGTATTCTGGTTTCGGGATTGGTAATCCAGGTCTGTGCGCTGCCAGACTGCCCTCCAGTGATCTGGATTAGGCGTGGGCACTTACTTATTTTCACGTACTATTTCTCTTGCATTAGCCAGAGCATACAATGCAAACTTTGTGCCAACGTAATGCTTTTATGTCAGCTGTTACCTGATCAAGTATAAAATTAGAGCAGCGTGGACAGACTGTGCCTGATCTAGCAAAAACCTGCCAGGACACAGTTAACCCTTCAAGTTCATTTGAACAAGTTTCAACTGGTAAAGTAAATTTGTGTTGCATTATCACTTTGTGCCCTGTGGCTCTAATATTTCTGAGCCATGATTCCTAAAACTAGATTTATTTCACCTTTGAACTCTGGCTTGAATGACATCCTGTGCCTGAGAAGGACGGACAGCTTCCGCCCACAGTCAGCATTTGGGGAAGCAAATGACAACACGAATTGTATTTCGGGCTTTATGGCGTAAACTTGCAACCTACAATTTAAGATATCATCCCACCTCCTCCACACAGGTGGCTGAACGTTTGAAGTGGGAGGCTGTCAGTCTCTGAAGGATCAGACCCACAGCCTGAGGCACAGTCCAGGACTTGGGCTGAGCCTCAATGTCAAATCTTACACGTAGTGTTGAGATGTTGCCTCAGTGTTAGGCTGGGTGGCTGCAGGCTTTCAAACAGAGATAAACTCACGCATCACTGCTTCTGAACAGCAGAAACATTTATAACGCTAAACTCTAGCTAACAGTCATCCATACAGGCAGGGTAGTGCATCCTCTCGTTTTAGAGGATGCTTAGCTTCCCTGAAAGACCAGTTTTTCACCCTTGCCCTCCAACCTTCCTGTGCAACGATTATTTAAAACTGACACTGTTACATACACACTCAGTGATATTAAAAAGGCATTAGGAAGTTTCTAAAGTCAAGCTCGCAAATGATCAAAAGTGTCATAGAGCAAATCCAGGCAACCTTAAATCAATCATTTTAGGCATGTGGAATACCATAGCTCATTGCTATTTTGTTCAGGGCACGTAACAGGCTAAAACAAGAGGAGGCTTTTGCCCAGGAACCACTGTTAGGGGTGTACGAGGAGGCAAGTGTCAGCTGGAGAAGACAGGTACCCCTGTTGCAGGTGACATTTTATACCTCCCGCCACAGTTCTTCCACAATGCTAGTCAAATAATTTAAGCCACATCATGGCTTGTCATTAACTATGCACCCACCTCTTTCAACACGACCACAGAGTATGAACTGCAGAAGCACCTGCAGCTGACCCCAGCTGGCTGCACAGCATTTCTGTGAAAGCCTCAGCACTTCAAACAGGGCCACCACAATCCCTAGGGATCTGTCACCGGTACCATGGGGACAGTGAATGTCCCTTCTCTCTGAGGCACGGGGAAAAGAGAAAGGAATGCCAGCGATTGCCATGGAGAAGCCTGCATGGAACTCATTAACATGAGCAACGCAGACACATTTCAGTCATGTCTAAGACAACGGCTACAAAAGCAGTTATGATTCTTTTTAATTCATTCACAACCGCCACATTCCCCATACTGAAAACTTCAGTCTGACCAGATGAAGTTGGCAAAGAGATGAGCTACTGAAGTCAGGAAAGTGTGGCATAAACTTAATTAGAGCAGCAACCCTCTCTATCCTGAGAGATCCTTAGAGCCCTGTTGTGCTAGGGGCTACATAAACCTACATACCACGACCACCCCAACACAAAAGCTTGCTGCTCTTATTGCCAAAAATTACTACATCGCTTTTTGCTATCCTGGGTATTCAGTTTCATTACTGTAATTACAAGACATTAACTCCTAATTACGCAACTAATTTCTGCATTTGAAATGGAAGAAGTACATTTACCGCACCCACATGCCATTGACCTTAAGCCTTGATGTCTAAAGATGAGAGCAAGAAGGAAGGAAAAGTTCTCCTTGTCTTCAAAGGCAGAACTGAACTTGCATTTGTATCACAGATCCACAAACAGAAGAGGACCACTGAAAAAAACCACTGAAACTTCACAATACCTGAGAGAGAGTAAAAAGTTTTGCCAGGAAAAAATGTATGTTTGTTTGTTTTTTTAATTAAAATCAATCTTTTGCGGAGATTGGGATTTTTGATTAAACCATGAAGATTTTAGAGAACACATTTAATGTTTTGTCTTTAGCTGGATGAATAAAATAGGCCAGCGTAAGTACAGTGGCCTGATCAGTCCCATTCAGAAGGATGTCTCTGCTCCCCAGCTTAAGGTAAAGCAACCTATCCAGCTGAATCCAGCTCCAGTTCTCCTGGTCAGGGTTCGTCCTGGAGCAGCCAAAGGCTGAGCAGAGCCGTGGGGACAGGGAAGCAGGGAAGACGTTCACCAAGCTTTGTGGTAGGGCAAAGCAAGGACTGAGGGAGGTGCTCATCTCCTCTGTACCAGCTTTACCACTCCCATCCCTTTCTTTCCAGGGTGCTGATTTCATATTAATGCAGGGAAAAACAAAACAAAGCTGAGTAGGAGTGAGAGGAAAATCACTATCTGTGCTCCTCTTCTCCACACACAGGTCCTCAGGGGGTAGGAGAGGCAGCAAGGGGACAGCTTACCCCAAGCCCCCAAGGTCATCAGGGGTTATAGGCTCAAGTTTTACCTATGTTCTCCGGACTCTACTCACTCCTGCATGTACACAGATTTTTCTTCTCTTAGCTCACTGCCACAGTCCCTGCTCTACCTAGTAAATTAAGAGGGGGCCAGGATCTTAGAAAGACATGGGATAACAGGCAGGGAGGCAACTCAGTGATCGGACAAAGGCAAGCAACAAAGACCCACATCCAAATCCCCCTCCCCCCCCCCATTGTGCCCTATTTGGCTGTTTGTACTAGCCTCATCCTTGTAATTAAGATTTACTTAACTTTAGATTCACTGTTAGGTCCAACACATTACAGAAAAGGGCTTCATCTCCTAAGCCAGGAGGTGGATTTAGGGTATCAATTCAAGCCTCCCTCACCCCCACCAGATCCCTGTATAAGCAGGTTACAAAAGGACAGCCCTCCTCTTCCTCCCCAGGCAGAGAGAGCAGGTGAAGCACAGAGAGAAGCAGCACCCCAGCTGCCCTCTGCAAGGCTCAGAGGACCAGTCTCCCTGCCCAGTCCTACCTGCAGAGGCTCCTCAGCTGTGGTTTCCTCCCCAAGATCAATGTGGAAGCAGTCTGCACCAAACTCCCAGCGCTCTTGCCCTCCAAGGGCTCACAGCGGGTATCTCCAATACTCCCTGGCAGCCAAGACAGCTGTGGGTGAGGCAGAGCACTTACCTGCTGGGGCTGACCGAGAGGGTTGGCTCTTGGAAGCCAAGCCTTGTTTTGAGGAGGAGACTTGGGTGTGTTTTGCCCTTCAGGGGAATCAAACAGGTTTCTCCATTCAGACTGCATGGTCTCCCCTCCCTGCAAGCTCTCCTGCACATTCCTCACATTCTCAGGCAAATGCCAGGTTCCCCAGCCCTGTGCTGCAATGGGACAGCAGAGAGCAGCCCCCCTCTCGCCCCACTAAACTCCCTCCCAGGCCAAGCATTGCTAGTGCCGCCCAAGGACTGGCTCGCCCCACAGGAAGGGGAAGCAGGCTTCCCACCGCTACTCAAGCACAGGCAAGCCCCTGAGCCTGGGAGAGCTGCTTATGGCAGTGGCACCTGGGTAGCGTCAGGCGCTGGCACTGTAATTAGCACTCAGGAGTGATTGTCTCATTCTAACTAACCAAATGAGGTGTGCAGGTGTGATTATCACTCTTTCACTGCAGAGGAAGCTGCCAGGTACTCTCATCTTCCTAAGTTTATTTTCCCTTCTAATTAATTGCTGTAGTTGCCACAAGATCCCTGAGGCCCAGCTCCTCCAGTAACTCTCTGAATAGACACAGCAAGACCCCTGGATACACCTTCTGTCTTGGCTCCCTCCGTTCCAATTCCCAGAGACTAGTGGTTGGAGCTGTGAGCTTAGAGCACTTCTAAGAAGTCAAGGCATCAGCTCAGAGCTGCCACAGGATGGCAAGAAGGAAACAAAGCCCCCATCTGGGCAACTGCCACAGAATCTTTCCCCACCTTCGCAACCATCAGCACACATGACCCCCTGCATATTGGGCCCAGAGCAGTTGTTCTACATAAATACCCAATAGTGAGCTCTTGTGTCAGTGTTCGGTCTTAGGTTCTTCTGCTGTTGTTACTCCTCTCCTCCTCCTATCCTTTCTGCTGGAGGTGAGGTATGTCTCCGCATCTCAAAACTGCTTCTCCATGAGCCACCAGTGAGCGCTCTACAAATTGATCCGAAGTAACACTGAGTTTGTAGTAGAAGGGGCCTTGGAGAGAAGCATTCCTGTGTTCTCCTTGCAGCTTTGTGATTGATCTGCTGTAGGACAACGAGAAAACCCTCCGTGCTCTGGGCTATAACCGGACTAATAACCCATCCCTGGCTCCCAGCAGCACGGTGGAGATAATGTCTGAAAAGCCCTGATGTCAAAATTGCTATTCCAGTCCCAGATCTTTCTCTCTGATCCACCTATGTTGCAACATTAGCAGCAGCACAGAGCTCAGCTCAGTTGAGCCGTCCTCCTCAGAGGCTGATGATGATCTCAGGTGAGATAGGCACGGGAGAGAACACGTAATATTTACAAAGCCGCACCTCAAGCTCAGAGTAGGCACATAGGGGTGTCCAACTCAGGAAATAGCCTGTTTAAAATGCACCATCCCTACCTCTGTAAAGGATCCTCTGCTTCAGGGCTCCAGCTGACAGTGCAGTTTTACTTTCTGTAACCCCTGAGTCATCCCTTCACTTGCTGAAGGTTCGTTCAGGTTCCTTCCTGAAATAATAGTGACTAACAGCTTGACTAGCCTTTTGGCCCCTCTGCCAAGGGAGCAAAAGGGACTCCCCAGGGTCTGTGGACTACATTCTTTTTGCAGTATGACCACACTGTTCTACAGTGAATGTTCAAAAAAAAAAAAAAGCACCTATTATGATCACCTTAATATTAAACACCAAAAAAATGGATACAGAGATCACAGAACAATACACACAGAAGCTGACTGACTGTTGTTTTACTAGTTGTAGACTACTGTTTCCTTGAACTGGCACAGACGCACCAGTCTAAAACATTAGTTCCAATGATGTCTATCAGCGTTGCTTTCTTCCTTAGAAGAAAGGAACACAGCAAAGAACTGCTTTTTTAATTAACTAAGAGGAGAGAGGTGCAGTGATAACTAACATTTTGTTATTAGATTGAAAATACAGGCTCAAGGGTATGTACAAAACTTCCAAAGATAGGTCTTAAACTCAGGGGTGTGGTAGCAAGGTAGAACAGAACAAAATCTGCTTCTGTGCTGGCAACTCCATCACAACAACTCAGATGAGCACACTGTTAATGAAAGACATACTGCAAAGCATGTAGCCAAATGAAAACACAGAGAAATGCCCCGCAGGACACTTCTTCCCTTCCAACAACATGATTTGAACAACTACCACTCAAGCCCTGGCGCACAGTTGCTTCACACTGTGAAGGCTTCTCATTCTTCACCCTCCACGTACAACCTCCTGATGCCACGCAAAGCCCTACTGATTCAGTCCCGACCTTCGACAGCCTTCCTACATATGAAGAGTCGGCCAGCCCTCTTGCTACTCCAACGCATTAGTGGCACCTACTGACACTTCAATCCCACATCGAGTTCTCTGCGCTGTGCTAAGCCTGTGGCAATGCTCCTGAGAGAATGGACAAGGGAAGACATCTCATTTCACTGATTGTAGCCATGGTTTTCTAGTGCAAACACTATCAATGTCATTAGAGCTAATGCAGTTGTGAGATGTAAGGCTAAGGCAGAACAGCACTTGTTGAGTGAAGGAAAGTGTTCACCTGCTATTGCTATATATCACATCGGCCACATGGGGCTCCTTGGGAGTACGGCAAGAGGAGAGTTAAGGCTTGTCTGGGAAAGCCAGGGGAGAACTATGATACTGCTACAACTGCCATGCATGGTCAGTTTACGCCAGAATAAAAGGCACTTCATTCTGCTATTATTACCCCTTCCAGCTCATTTCCCATTTAAACGTGTTACCATTTCATTTTATTTAATTAAGATGCCTTGATTCACTGGCAAACTGCAACCCTGGAGGCGGGGAGCAATACATATCTCCTCCTCCTCCTTCCCCTGATATCTGTGGTCCCACCAATACTGAGGTAGCTATGTCTCTTGCAAGCATTTGGAATACAGAATCCTTGTGAACCTCTGCTATCTGAGATTTACATAGAGGAACCAGAAAAAAAGATTACAGGACTTGCCCAAGTCCCA